TGTTTAAAAGTTCACTTAGTCATAGCCATGACCTCTTTTTTTCTTCCCACCGTATGAGGAAATATAAAACTTTGACACCTCATTGTGGCAGCAGCAGGATGAGAGGAATTAAAGGCAAATGCTTATTTTGGGCGGACACAGCGCGCAGTTGACGTGACAAGAGGAGGAAGATGCTTTTGCTGTTCCAAAGACATTTTCTCCACTGTGAAAATGTCAGGGGGTTCAGCTTTGGTCAGCAGGCAGCTGTGCCCAGCCTGATACTGGGGTAGCACAGCTGGCACCTGCTGCTTGCCCAGGCCAAGGGCAGCTGGGAGATGTCACAGCCACTTTCTGTCTGGTTAAACCTATGTTTTTCTCAGGTGTCTTTTTGAAATTCTGAATGGAAACTTTGAGCAAAAAACACTTCTTCTCTTATTCCTTACTACCCACCCTTTAGCAACTTCTCAAACTGCTGAGCCCCTTTGCTCCTGGGAGAATTTTTTCTGAAGGAAATATTTTCTCCCTGCCTGAAAGTGTCTGTATTAATATTAAAATTACAATTAGCAGATGAAACATATAAAACCTCTTGGTAGGACCTGTAAAATAGAATGACAGACTTGCCCTGCTGGTCAGGGTAGGAGGAGAGACTGTGCTGGTCCTGGCAGTTTTTGCTGCCATGGTTTGTGAACATGCTCATGCCATTGCAAAGCACAAAGCCACGCTTCCCTCCTGCCCTTCAGCTAAAGCACCCAGGGCCATGCAATGCCTGCAGCTCCAGTGGAGGGCAGAGGGGCCAGGGGCCAGCCAGCAGGTCACAGCATCGACAGACACGTGCAGAAAGGACGGGACTGGCTCTCTTGGCATTGACGCATTGCCCTGACAGAGCTCCAGCAGCTCCACGAGGACCAGCCCTGTCTCTTCCTGTGCATGCAAGAAGGATTTGTGGGGCTCCTCATGTAAGTGAGCATCCTGACCTCTGCACAGGTGACCTGTTTGCATGGTGTAGGATGTTAAATTTTGCCTTAATGTGCCTGCCGAACACCAGTTTTTGTGAAGTGTGCCGGGCACTTCCCCATAAATAAATGATGGAGCATTATTCAGTCCACTTAGATCAATACATCAGCTTGACAAGTTCCAGTTCCTGGAATTTTCTGACGCCCTGGAACATCTTCTCTGCAACTGTGCTGCTTATAATCCATGGTGTGCAGCTCAAACAAACTCCAGGGAGCAGCACATCAGGAGCCAACCGTGTTGGTGCTGCCGCCTTGCCAGCCCCGGCATTCCCTGGGATAGGTGCACTGGGATTGCAGCAAGGGCAGGCAGGCCAAACTCAGTGCCAGACTGCACAAATCCTGTGCTCCATGGGGCTACCCAGCCCCACAGTCATGTGCTCCATGTGCTCCTGCCCCAGCACAGAGGGGACCCCAGCGGTGCCAGAAATAAGCCACAGAGCTCTTGTTTCAGGCCCTTTGCAAACTGAGGCAGATGCATTACGGCCACCAGGAGGGTTTGTGGCCTGGTGCAATGGGAGAGGATGGTCTCAGACCCTTTTTTGCTCTATTATAAATACAGCCTCAGATGCTATGATTCTACACACACATCATCTCCATGCCCCAGGCTGCTGTACCCCGTGTTTTATCCCCACTTCTGGTTTTTGGATTTTCTGCAGGATATGTGAGGTACAGGTTACCTAAGGACCTACCTCCCCATACCAGCACTTTTAACAAGGTGTGGATTATCTCTGGTGCTGGCTCTATGCATGGAAACACAGTATGTTACTAATCTCCTGCTGCTGTTAGCTCACATTTATCACAGGAGTATCTGCTTACCTTTGATTCGAGATCCCTCCATCAGGGACCCAGGGCAGTATTTGTCTGTGAACTGCTGCGTATGCCTATGGGATTGTATAAGTAAATAAATATAATTAATAATCATCTGACTTCAGAGCAGCATTGGCAGGGAGGTAAATGTAACCTTCATAGAATTACAAACAAAATCAAGAGAAAAAGGAAAACCTTTCTAGGAGCTTGTATGAATGAAGTAATTGTATCCAAGCTGCTTGGAAATTATTCTGCCAGTGTTGTTTGGGTGGCTTTTGGGAGATCAGAAGCATTGAGTTTCTCTCTAAATCAGGATTCTGGCCAAAAACATTTAAAAAATAGCTTTTTTAAAAGATGTCTGCGTTTTCTATCAATTAAAATGCAGATAAAAATAAAAAGCCTCAGGGTCCTCACCCTGCTTCAGCATCTGACCTATAAGGGAGCAACCCAGTCCCTGCAACACCAGGACTGAACTGGAGGAAGGGGCAAAATAGTGCAGTTTCCTCTCAGAAAGGGTTTCATGGTATTTTTTTTGGCTTGCGAGTGAACCAGGGGTGTCTCAGACTTTTTCACAGTTTGCCATAGGGATAAATGCTGAAGGGACAGGGGTCTGTGCCAGTGCCAGCAGCTGTGTGGGGCTGGTGGTGTCCCAGTGGCTGCAGTGAGCCCGTGGCCGTGGCCACCCCTGTGGGCTGGGGACCCCGGCGTCGGGGAGCCACCGACGCTTTCTGCCTCGCTTTAACAGTCAGAAGAAGAACTTTCCTGTTTAAAGATTAAACGTTGTCTTTAAATATTAAACAGCAAAGCTCCTCTCTCTTGATTGTGTGGCTGCTGCCGGCAGGCGGCTCGGAATTGCCACTTTTAATTAAAAAACTTTATTTTCCAGCGCAGCCTGGCAATGGCTCCTCCTCCCGGCCGGTGCTGGCTGGCTGACCTCTTCCCCGCCTGGCCTTCATCCCTTCATCATCACTGCCTGCACTTCCCTCTGCCTGCAGCAGTGACGGTCCCTGCCAGCCCCAGAGTGTGAGCAGCCTTGTCTGGGACTGATCAATGCCCCTGGCACTTCCTTCCAAAACCCCAGGAAAAACAATTAAAACCCGATCGATCCTGCAGGCAGCTTTGAATATGCATAAGTGCACACTTGACCTTCAGTGGTCAGGCCAACTTCCACCCTGGCTGCTTAGCTAGTTTGCTCAGGTATTGTGGCTGTTCCGAATGACCTTGATCAGGAAAGCAGAGCGCTGTGCAGAGATGGGCCTGGTGCTGATCCAGGGGCCAGGGCACGTGCTGCCAGCTCCCTGCTGATGCTGCTACTGCTGCAGAGCCAGGGGAGACAGGCCAGGATTGGCACCCAGCTGCCAGGAGCTTTCCAGAGCTGTCCCCATGGCTTTCCAGAGATCCTGCCAGCCTCCCGCTGTGCTCCCTCAGTTGCTCCTGGCCAGGGTCCAAGGGATACGTCTGGGCTGGGAAGGCAGCCTGTGATATGGTAGCTCCCTGTACAGGGAAACCCCTAGTCTTTCCCCATCCGGGGACATTCCTTCCCCAGGGATGGCCCCCAATGCTGTCATCATGCTGGTGCTGAGTGTGAGAACCTTCCTGTGCTGTGCCTGGGTTTGCATTGTGGAATGGAGCCCAGGAGAGGGAGCCATGTGTGGAACCACTTCCACCATCATCCAGGGTCACCAGTGGATGGGTGGCAGGGTCCCATCCTGCACCTCTGGCTCCCCCCCACCGTGGCTGGCCAGCCTGCATCCCGCCCATGGCAGTGAACATGCCAGAGTGTATTTGTCGAAGGCAAAAGAAACCTCCCCGTTGTGTACACAAAGTGTAATTTCAGTGAATTATGCATAGACTTAATTAGGAGTTTTAATTGCTAATCATCTCCCAACAGGATTAGCAATGCTGTCTATTAATTATCTGTGGAGCCCTCTGTTTTGCTAAGGCAGGAGGAACAAAGCAGCGTGAATGGTTACGTGGGCCACTAATAAATTAACTCCCCCAAGCCCTGTGGCTCTCAGGGAGGCTGCCGGCAGCCGGGGCTGTTCAGGGGCTGGACCTGCCCGTGCTGGGCAGAGCAGCAGGTAGCAGGGAAGAGGGGATGGCAGGAGGTTCCAGTGGTAGGCTGGTGGCTGGTGGGCTGGTGGGGGGCACTGCTCAGCTCTACTCGCCCAGTTTCCTGCTGCAGAGTATCTCCATGGCGTTTGCAGCCTGCAGAGGGTGTCGGCAATGCCCCGCCACACTGTGGCTGCAGTTAGCGATGATCCCCCCTGCAGAAGGGAGATAGGGGCTGCTGGATTGACCTGATCTCATCTGGGGACAATGGCCCTCACGGCAGCAGAGATAGTGCCAGCGTGAGCGACGCTAAGCCCACGCACCCTTCTTACTGCTCACAATGCGTTGCTGAGCTTAATTCCTCAAGATGAAGAAGATATGTGGCTGTCAGGCTGTAATTACAGCTGTGCGTGTCACACAGAGGCCTGGCTGCTTTTATGTTTGCATTGTCCAGTGGGTTTTTGTGCTGCTCAGGCTCCCAGCTGCCTTGCTTGTGCTGGAAACCCTGCCAGGGGAGGCAGTGGGGGTGGAGCAGGCTCCCTCTGGCCAGGCTGCAGGCTCTGTTCAGTGGGGTAAGCAGTGCTGTCTCCCAGTGGGATTTCACCCAGTGATGGAGAGCCCTGAAGCAACTGGGGTCTGGGGGTGGAAAGGAGAGAGAGCCTGGAGGGCTGTGCTTTCTGGAGGGAGGGGAAGCGGCTTGCTGGCCAGGCCAGCCTTGGCATGGGTGCCCCTTTCCAAACCCCCTGACTCCTGCTGATGACCCCATCTTTAGTAAGGCAGGAATGGGGAGATGTTATTGGAGCAACCAAGGGACATGGGTGATGAGCTCACAGCCCCTGGCTTGCCGCAGCACAGCAAAGGTAGCCTTGAGTGATGCAAACCCCTCCCTCTTGGGGGTTGTCAGCTGTACAGGACAACACCAGAGGTTCTGGACACCTCTTCTCTGAGGAGCACCACGTGGGCCGGGGCCGGGTGAGGGTACTTTGTGCACACAACTCCAGGAGAGCTGCTGTGAGGGTGGTGTGTGGGTCTGCACTGAATATGGTGAACGCAGACCTACACTAGCCCCGGGAGCGGCCAGACTTGGGCAAACACAAATCATGCCTGCCCATGGGCTGTGCTGTCTGACACTCTGCTTCTCTCTTCCAGGCGTACAGCTTTGCCATGGGGAGTTGGCCAAAGAACGGGCTCTTAGACATGAACAAAGGACTGAACCTACAGCACATAGGGAGGCCTCACAGCGGGATAGGTGAGTGTTGCTGCCCTGTGCCTTTCCCATCCCCACAGCTGCTGCTCCGGGTGCGCGGAACGTGCCTCAGCTCCAAGACCTTGTCCAGTCTGGGGTGCTAAGAGCCAGCCAAAGGACTGCAAGGTCTCCAGCTGGTAAAAGGGATGCAGATGTGTCAGGGCAGGATGGGCACACGGATGACCTCCCTGTCCCTGGCATATCCCAATGTGCCAAACATACCTGCAGGTCCCTCTAGGGAGCTGCTTCCCTCCTTGACTGCTCTAGCAGTGCTTGGGTTGGGGTTGGATGTGGGGCAGCACCAGGTGCCTGGAGCACAGGGCAAGGGTCCCCAGGCTGGGTGGGATGCTCTTCCTGTTGGACCAGCCCTCGAGTTGCTCTGGATGCTGTGATCGTCCTTGGGAAGGAGGCTCTGCCAGGCAGCACAGCCTTGGGAGCTGGCTGGAAACACTGCAGAGTGAAGATGCGTGGTCCCAGCTGGAGAACTGAATCATCGTCCCGTTTGCTCACATGTGTGATGAGTTTCATGGTCCCGCAGCCTGCTCCAAGATAAACAACTGATAAACAGTGCTTCAAGATGAACAGTGGTAGAGTTCGGTGTATGCCCCAACTCCTCTGCACCAGGGATCAAAGTGATATGAGGGAGACCTCACCCAGGACACTGAGACCATATATCTGCCTGCTGCTTAGCCCTGGGGATGCAGAGCTGGGACAGCAGCAGACTGTGGTACGGGCAGGAGCTCAGATTTACTGGGCTGTAGACAGGGCTGTGAGTCAGGGCTGCATCACTCTTGCCTGTCTTGTTTCTCTGCGGGGCAGTGGATCACCTCTTGGAGACCAGTGGTCAGGTGTTCCCTCTGCCTCCCAGCTCTTCATCCTCAGTGACATTTGAGCATTAAAGTTTGCAAGGAGGTAAGATTTACTTGGAAAAGTCACTGGCTACCTGGGCCTTGAAGAGGCTGTTTAATATTGTTTCAAGACTCTAACCATTAAACTCTCTAATCAATCCAAGTTAAGGAGATGAATTATTTAAAGCTCACCAGCTTTTAATTAGCAAGCTCCTTTTGAACTATGGATCTGGTTGCATTATTGACAGAGGTAGCATTAAAATTTGCTTCCTTGCCTGAGAGCAGATTTGCCTTGCTTGTGTGCCATGTTGGGAGATCGCGGGGAGGGAGCAGGGACTGCAGGAGTTGTGTGTGCTTATCCTGCTCTGGGGGCTTAGGCTTTTCCTAGGGTCTCCCGGGGGATGCAGAGTTGGTTTCTGCTTCATTGTTCCTCATATTATTTATGTCATGAGCTCTCTATTGCTGTCATCCCTTACTCCAACAAAGCATCCACATCTTTAGAGTATCATCTGTCTGCCGTTGGTTTCTGCTCGTGTTTATCTCAGTGCTGTTGTCTTGCACAGGTGTGACTCCTCTGCCCGACGGAGTTCAGAGAGGTGCTGTTCATGTCCCTCCCCATTCCAGTCCTTTAGGAGGGTTTTGCTTCTTCATTTCTGCCAAACTCCCTCTGTGGGGGAGCACTCCCAGCTCTCCCCAGTACAGGGTGAACTGTGGGTGAATTGCCCATGGAGAAGCAAGACCCAGAAACCAAGCTCCATTCTTGCAGCACTTCATCCCAGTGGCAAACCTGCCTTTCCCACACTGTTTGGAAAGGGTTTACGTGGGTGCTGTGCAGGATACCAGGCCAGCAGTGTGACAGTCTCCATCTCCCTGGTACTGCCAAGGGTGCACAGCCTTGTGTGTTACAGCCTACTGGCTGCTCTGTTTGAGCTGGCTCCAGAGCAGATCTGTCTGGGATATCTGGGATCCTCTGACTGCCTGCAGAGGTGGCAGCCACTGGCCCTCTCTGCCCAGTGGCTTTACTGCAGGCTGAGCCCTCGGGAGTGAACTGGAGGCTCATTGAATGGCAGCTGGGGAGAAGAACTACTCCTCCTGGCCAGCTTGGGAGCCCCAGGCACAGCCACTGCCTGTGCTGTCATGGCTGTTGGCTTTGGGGCTTGGTAGCCCAGTGTCCTCCTGGGAGAAGGCGAGGGGTGATGCTGATGTCTGGAGACATGCCTTGCCGGGCATTTTTTCAAGGAACAAGCTTCCTGGCTTTCTGGCCACTTTATTTCCCAGCCTGATGGCTTTTCAGGCCCTAGGCATGGATCAGGTGTTGGCCGTAGTGAGAGCCCGAGATGTCCCCAAGCCAAGGCCCAAGGAGGGGCTGCTCACTGCAGAGGCAACCTGTCTTCCTTGGGTCTGGCCTTGCTGCCTTGTCCTGGAGCAAGTGTCAGTCCTCCACAGCCAAGTCTTTCCATGTTGGCCACTAGGACTGGGCCACTGGGAACAGTCATCCCAATTGCTGACGGTTGCCCTGTGCCCTGAGCAGTCCTCACCTCTCTCTTCTTCATGCTCTCAACTGCCCTTGCTTCAAGGGTGGGAGGAGCCATCCATCCCTTTCAGTGCCCAGGGCTGCCCTCCTCTCCCTGACTGTAAGGAGCCTTGCTGCCAACACAGCCCTGCTTCTCAGGCAAATAAATGACCCCTAATCAAAGATTGCTGCACAAGAAGAGGGGGAAGAATGGTGAAACATGCTACCTGCCAGCCTCTCATTGCCCACAGTGAGACAGAAGCTGGCTCTGGTTCTGGGGGTGGTTCCCATGTGGTCTAGAGCCTCCTTTCTCATTGTTCTCAGTCCTGGGGTGCAGCAGGGTTGAGTGACATTGGGGAGCTGAAAGGAGGGCATCTAAGGTGGGTATAACCAGGGTCAGCCTCTGATGTCCGTGGTCCTCGTGGGTCACTGATGTCCAGAAATCTGCAAACCAAAGAGGGTCAAGAAGGGAGCAGCAAGTAGATTTGTTAGCCAGTCTCACCAGTTTCACAAATACCATGCCATGTAAGAGACTGTCTGTGCAGCTCCTTTCCCAGGAGCATGGGAAACCTCTCCAGCATGGGGAGTGGTCCAGGGGGATGCAGACATTCCTGTGAAGCCTCAGCTTGCTTATGCAGGAACGTGCAACAAGGATATTTCCCTTCAAATCTGACAGAAAAATTGCAGTGGATGGCCACTTCTTTTTGCAAACAATTTGCAAGGAATTTTGCTGTCTTACCTGATCGGTTGTGTATTACTTTGTTTTCAAATCACTGTCTTAGCAGATATTGGCTCCAAATCCCTGCACTTGGCATGCTCTGGGACCAGTCCCACTCCGTGCTTCATCTTCTCTCCTCCATCATGTCCAAAATCTGGGGAGTTCAGGGTGCTCGACACCCTGCAGGGCCAAGGCCAGATTCTGGATGGGGACCACCTTTAGCATCTGGTGCATATGGGCAGGAGGGTCTCGTGCTGTAGCACAGTGGAGTGTCCCCACATCCCCTGGGATATACAGCTGCACATGGAGCAAGTTGCTGCACAGAGCTCAGGTTGTAGCTTTCACCCGGTTCGTACTCGTGAGCAAGTGAGCTGCAAATCTTGTTGAGGAGGTAGAAAAGTGATTTGTGTCTCCAAACAGACTAAAGTCTCTCTGCATACCCTGAAAATACAGCTGCCTTGGGGTGGGATGGGTGCACATCTGGTGCCGTTGTGTTCTTGGGAGGGAAAAGGTAAAGGAAGGGGGGAAATGTCAATATTTCAGCTCTCTGAGAAGCACTGGGCAGAATAAGGAGATAGAAAAGTCAGAAAAGTCCTCTTCCTGAGAGTGAGGATGCAGGAATTACCTGAGGGATCAGAAAGGAGCAAAAGGGGCATAAAGCCTATTCTTTCATACCTTTTCTCGGGTTGATATTTCAGCTCAAAGGACTCCTTCTGGGCTGAATGTGACCCTGAGGACCGGAGAGAACATTTTATTGCAACTTCCATATCATTCTCTAACACAGATTAGTTGTGTGTCAGCTGCAGCATGAGCTGTAGAATCTTGGGGTGAGGAACTTGGGTTTGTCTGCTGTTTTCTTGACCCTCAACAAAACGAAGTAGAGTCTTGCCAAGAAGCTACTCAATCTCACATATGTGTGGACATTGCCATTCTTAAAACGTGTGTTTGAGGTGGTGGTTGCCAAAAATGAGCTGCAGCTTGTAATGGGGGTCTTGGCACTCACACACAAAGACCAGCGTTCACAGGCTCCACACCAGTGGAGCTGGGTACTTGTGTTAGGGTCTCTCTACTGATAGTCAGAGACTGATATAGGTCAGAGGGATCAAAATCACAGGTTTTAGTGACAGCAGATCACTTGCATTCAGAAATTGATTTTCTTCTGGTTTTGCCTTTCTTTTTAAGCTGTTTCCCTGAAAAAAGGTCAAGTTTTACTAAACAGCACCTATGAAACCAAGTATAGCTTTCCTTACCACTGCTCAGTTGTTAAATCTGGTTATTCTTTTACTCATCAAATGCTCTATTTTTGCTACTTTTATTTTGATCAATTATGTAACACAGTATGCCTTTAGTCTTAGTTTTTAGGTATTTTTTACATTAGAAAAATGGTGAATCACTATATGCTCTTGAAGAGGTGGTGATTAAATTATTACTCATGATTGCTCTTTTGGATGAAAACTGTAATGCCATGCTAAAGTACCCCAACAGTTTGAATTGATTTTATTAGTAAAATCTCTTTCCCTTGCAAATACACAGTACAGAACAAAAAGTAAATTTCAGAATACTTTCTAGGTTAAAACACCTGGTGCATGAAACCAAAGCAAGAAGTGATCAGTGAGTTGAAGAAGTGTTTCCGGAAACTACCCTTTCAAGACTTTAAAATGAGTACATCTCATCCTCTCCTGCCTTAGTTGGTTGGTTTGTTTGTTTCCCTGATTATGGAAAGATAAAAAGCACACCTTCTTTTTTATTGTCAGTCCTTTATTGTTTCTCAGCCATTAATAAGCCAGTTCTTGAACTGCAAATATACCAGAAACAGGAAAAAGTTTCCAAATCTGCAGAAGTAGCTGCTCCTGCTGGGAAAGTTTGTTTCTCATCTGTCAGCTATGCTTCCATTTGCAGTGCATTGACTGTCTTCAAGACGTGACATTACCCCTTGCTACTGATCTTTTTTGAATCTAATTGAATTTAATTGAGTCTTTAAAGTTTAGGCTTTAGTACACACGTTATTGTGATTTTAGATTTAGTTGTAAATGTCTGGTTTGTTTGGAATTTTTTTTCTTTTTAGGGGAAAGAGGGCAACCAGAGTTCTGTGTGTCTTGCTGAACCTGCAGTACCCATCCCAGGTGACCAGGAGATCTGGTCCCACAGTAACACCTGTTTTGATGCGGTGCCCTCACTGGGCTGTTTTACACCAGCTGGCATAATCCCGTGAGCTGTGAGCCTCTGTGCAGGACTCACCATCTTTCCTGCACCCATGGTTTCCCTGGCTGGGGCTATGCTGTGCTCCATCCATGGGGATCTCTGCTGTGCCAAATGGAAAAGCCCCACCTGCCTGGGCAGGTCAGCAGCCCACACGGTGAGTGACCCAGCAAGCCACCGTGCCTTCCTGGCTCCATCTCTCTCTTTTCATTTACTGATTGGAAATCTCAGAAGGTTAGGATGTGATATTGTTCCTTATCCAGAGCATTAATTAGGCCTCGGAAAGAAGAAGAGGAATTGCGTGTTTTTAACAGTGAGGTTAATGGGATGCTCGCAGAGTAGACAGTTTTAATGAGCTTCAACTCGATGTGCAGTGAGTTTACTCTTTGTGTTAAAAGGGTCACACTGCAGTAGTTTGATGTGGATTGTCTCCTGGCCCCCAGTGTCATAGGTGAGCGTCTGTCAGAGTCCAGTCAGAGCACATTTACTTAGTGACACGATTCTAATTAACTACCTCGAGCTGCCACCGCCGCGGGGAGCCGGGCCAGCGCCTGCCGGGGTGCCTCCTGCCCGGTGGAGCCATCCCTGTCCCCGCC